GGATAGTGTGTATTGGTGTGGGGGGGGGGGGGGGGCGTTTTAACTGCCTTTTATGCAATGAAACAGTTGCTGCTGTGTAGCTGAATTTTCCACCACAGGTCAGTGGGGCCTTGTGCTGTTTTTTGTATTAATCTGGTTTTGAGAAGTTTAGCTGTTAAAATTACTATTTTCTAAAATGTAGAGTACAGATACTTCAATTGTATTTGAGTAAATGTACTTGGTTACTTTGCACCACTTTTAGAAAATGTGATTAATCGCGTTAACAATGGACAGAACAAGTTGAAACATTTCAAACATGCATTTTGTGACTTAGCCAAGACTTTTCCAGTCTTCATCTTTGAAAAGCTCCTAAAAGTGGTGGTAAAATCCCGTCTCGAGCAAAGTGCATCATCACACACTACGTTTTGTATGGAACTGCAAAAGGGTGTTGGAGGTGTTTAGTTAAACACCACCCAGTAGTTCTTTAAAGGATTTTAAATATTCTTGCAGCTTTCAGTATAATTTCAGTGTGTACATATGATACAAGGTCCTGGCATGATTCTCATAGTTTTCAGCTTTACCCTGAGGTTGTATCAAAGCATGGTCCAAACCAGACCAGGTCACTTTACTGAGCTCTGACTTAATGCTGTGATGTTTCTGTGCAGGGTGGAGACTTCACCAACCACAATGGAACTGGTGGAAAGTCAATCTATGGCAACAAGTTCCCTGATGAGAACTTCACTCTGAAGCACACTGGCCCTGGCATCCTGTCCATGGCCAACGCCGGACCAAACACCAACGGATCTCAGTTCTTCATCTGTACAGCCCAAACAACATGGTAACAGTAAATGTGTTTTAAAGAGTCTTGGCACCTACGGCCTTGTCTTCACATAACTTTAAACTTCAGTAATGCTCCCCTTCAGCCCAAAGAGCTCAGTGAGCTTCAGAGCAGACTGAACCACTCTCTGCCCCTCATGTCCTGTCTCCTAGTAATGAGACTGTACAAAATGCAGCCCCATTCTGAAGCTAGCGCTAACTGGCTAACAGTGAATGTCAGTCCAGTAGAATGCTCTGGTTACTGCTGATGTGACACAGCTCATGACCATCCATGTCAGAAAGCCAAACGATGTTAATCCTGGTTGCTGGTCTCTTTGTCCCACTCTTTGGGCAAAAGATGCCACCTCTTCACTCACGGCTGCTGGTTCAGACTTGTAGCTGCCCAGAGCTCCTCAGTGGCTGTTTGACATGACTACTGGTGGGTGGGGAAAATGATTCCTAGGGCAGAGACGCACCAAAGCTGATGTGAAAGAATTGGTAATGACAGACCAAATGTTGCTTCACTTCATGTCAGTTTGAAAAAGTGCGCCTTAAACGCACCGCACAGACGGCAAATGGTTGACTAGCACATATGTATGTTCTGCACCTGTGACATAACTCCCCCCTATCAGCAGGTGGCAGTGTCTGTAGTTACATTCAGAAAGGGACAGGAGGACAGCTGGACTGAAAATAGAAGCTGTAAACAGACCTTTTTAAAACTGCTTCTAATTTAATGTCTAAGCTGCAAATGACACTGCCATTCGCTGCGCCTGTTTATTTTGGTTGTGGGAGAACAAAGGAGGTTGTGGAGGCAAAAAAAAACTGCACTTGATGGGTAAAATCATGGCTGCCACCCCAGTATCAAGATGAAGGGGCTTTCCCAAACCTTAACACCCAATTGGTGGTCTCTCACTGATTTGTCATGTGTGGCTGATTGACAGGCTGTGTGGGTGGAGCCATAGTGTTGATTTCTGTGCTGTCTGCAGGCTGGATGGGAAGCATGTGGTGTTTGGAAAAGTGATTGAGGGGATGAACGTGGTCGAGGAGATGGAATCCTACGGCAGCCGGGATGGCAAAACCAAGGCCAAGGTTGTCATCGCCGACTGTGGGCAGGTCTGAGCCTCTGCACTTCACGTTTCCTGCTCCACCGTAGCCGCACCCCTTCAGCCTCCATAACCAGCCGTTCCACATTCCTGACAGATTCATCTGGTCCCTTTTTCTTTATGTTGAAACATGTTGCTGCATTTGTGACTTTACCTTTGAAAGTTTCTTTTGCATTGGTCCCTCCCCCTTTTTGTGAAGTAAAGGAAAATAAAGAGAATGCCTTGATAAATGAGAACTTGTGCTTTTGTCTTTGATTACATATAAACCTACACGAGCTGTTCAAGTTGGTTTCTCTGCAGGATGTTTGTGGAGCTTTTCTTTACAATCATAACTTCACTTTGTGTTAAGAGGCTTAAATTGCTGTACTTAACATCTGGACTAGAACCAGTATCTGCTGGATTTGGTGGGAAAGCAGCAAAATGCACCTCAGCTAGGTTTAAAATGGGACTGTACCATCTGTTCAGAGGACTAGAATCGGATGTTACAAAGCTTGTGCATAGGAATAAAAAAAAAAAAAAGCAAAGACCTGTGGGGGCTTCACAGCACTGAAGTACTTCCTAGGAACTTGGTATTGCATTGGACAGCACTTGGTTTTGGAACAATGTTTTATTTTTCAGAAATCTGGACGTCACAGGTCTGATATTTGCTCGGGGATGGACAAGACGCTGGCATGATGGGGTCTGCAGGGGTCCCAGAGTTAAACTTCTTACTGAGGTTACTCAGATCTTACTCTGCCACCAATGCTGGAAAGTAACAAAGTACATTTATTCAAGTACTATTAAATGTATGCTTGTACTTGTGTATTTTCATGCTTTGAGAAATATCGCAGTTTCTGTGGCACCAAATTTGTGGTTGCTAATTACTCTTAAGGTTTCACATGTAAAACATGAACTTGTTAAAGTATTTGCCATCAAACTCTAAGATTCTAATGGTAGAGAAATCCTCTCGGCTTTAGTTATTTTTCAGGATAAGAGTTTCACAGATTTGGATTGTACAGTATTAAAGCATTTTGAAATGTTATGCGGATTCCCAAACAATCCATGCAGGGCCCCATTCTCACAGCTTTCACACGTCTTGAGTTGTTTGCACTGACCATATGTAGAGAATGTTGAGGTACATTGCATCAATATTAATCTGATCATATACTGTTTGTCACAGGGGCCGAGTACATTTACTTTGCCTCCCACATCTAGGTAAACTATTTTATTTAAATTGGAGATCAAATCCAGTTTTACTACATTAGATTTATAAGAACACGTATGGTTTAAATCTGTGAAACTATATCTTCAAAAAGACGAGTGCATGCTGTTCCTGGTAAAAGCCCAAAATGTTCATTTGGTCAATTCATGTCTATGAATCTGATCAAATTTAAATTCATATATTTGTGATTAAACAGAACCGAATCAACTGATCACACTATGTTCCAGAGTAAATCTGGAGCAGAGCTGAGCAGCTCCTCACCTGCTTGCTGGTCCATTCATAATATCACACATTTATTCTAAAGATTAAACCATTCTCACTGTGAAAGAAGTGTCCCAGCAGATCACACAGCAGTGCGTCTGTTCCTGGCAGCTGTTGGTTTACAGGCGCTGTCCTGTTCATTTTGTGGACCCTCTTTAATATGACTTCAGACAGAATCAGGTAACAGCAGTCACATTAACACAGACTCATTTTTATTGGATAAAATAACAGTGACAACAGATTATCTTTGGCTGCGTCCACATCCCAGCTGAAGTTTCCCAGACCTGGTGTGTCCACAGCAGTGTGAACAGATCAGATCTGGGCCACCTGCCTATGTGCTCCTAGACCCGATTCCTCTCTGACCTCTGTGTGAACGCCGTCAGAACGGTCAGATCAGAATCCATGTGGTCGTTTTAACGTCTCCTCTGCACATATGGCCTGTCATCATCATTCGGCGCCAGCCCCTCCCAGACTGGTAACAGTAAACATGGGGTCAGGGGAGAGACCAGGACATTTCACATGTGGTGGATGTTTATGGAGAAGCTTCTGATCAAGCCAAACTGGGAGGAACATATTGTAACCCAGTGGTTTGGGAGGAAACTGGGCCATTTGACTGGCACACACCACCTGGTTGTTATTCTTGTGCACATGGCTCACATATCAATTACACCTGTGCATGTGTGGCAGTTTAGGAGCTGAGTGGTGTTCACACCGGAGCCAGGTTCATGGACCTGACACTCACAGATCAGGACTGAGCGTTAATGGGATGTGGCCGCAGCCTTTTTAACTGAAGGCTGGACTGGGAGGCCTTGGACTCCAGTATGAGAACCACTGTGCATCTTTTAAGCTTCAAACATCTGTGGTTCCTTCCTACACACTGAAACAATGCTTCAGTAAAATGTTTGCACTGAGCCACAGTCAGCAGCTCCTCTCTGCCGTCCTCCTCTTCTTCCCAGAATGCCTTGTTTTCCTCTGGCCCTGTCTTGGGCGGGGTAGACACACACCCTGGCCCTTGTTTTTGGCTGACTCCGCCCAGCTGACGGGGGTGCAGGTCAGCCCTTTGTCACAGTCGCAGCGTTCCAGGTTCCTCTTCTGTTTGGAGGAGCCTCTCAGCAAACACGCCTCGCCCTCCCCCGGTATCCTCTGGCACCGTCTGCCGGTCAGGTAGCGGACACAGCACAGACCAGCCGCACAGTCACCGGAGCGCACACAGCTGGACATCTCTGGAGCTGAAACACGAAGACACAGAGTTCAAAACAGCTCATCAAGTAAAAGTACAACAGTATCAGCATCCAAATCTACCTGAAGTACCATCAGTACCAGTACTCGTCCTGCAGAACGTCCCGTGTCCCAGTAATGTCTCTGATACTGGATCATAGTGACTAATTACTGTGTCCATCACTTTAATGCTGCAGCTGGTAAAGGTGGAGCTGATGGTAACTACCTTATATACTTATACTGGGAAGTACTTTCCATCCTGCTGGGTAGCTGGTGGATTTCCCACTGGGATCAATAGAGTCTGATGGTTCTACTGGGTTTGGTTTGATTAATCTGATTCTGGAAAGGAACTGAAGTTATCAGGTACATGTAGTGCAGTAAAAAGTACACGGTTTGTCTCTGACATGGAGTCACAGGATGAAGTAGCGGGACATGGAAATACTCAAGTACAGATACTTCAGAACTGTACTCGCAGTGCTTGACTAAATGTACTCAGTTACTCTCGCACACCGAGGACTCACCGCACTGGCCACGTGACTCCAGGACGCACCTGCTCTATTAACTGTTACCATCCACCTGGTGGCGCGCTAAGCAAACGCATCATTGGTCTGCAGCAGTATCAGCAGCAGTGTACTCTGGGAGTTGTAGTTGACGTACTCACCTTTAGTCCTGTTGAAGCTGTCTGTGTCTTGCTGTGTGTCTGTGTCTTTGTGTCTGCGTCTGTCCGCCTGTCTGTCCTGAGGGACCGTCCTCCTCTGTGCTCTGTTACTGCATCCTGCCCTCTGATTGGTGGATAAAGCATAAAGCATCACAGTCACTGAGTGTCTGTTCATCCTGGAAACAGTACCTCTACAATACGTCTGGTTTATTGATCAGGTGTGTTCACACATGTACGTCACTGCAAATCAATACGTCACAGCCTGTGTGTGTCTCACGTTGTGTCCAGGTGTTGTCAGTCTGTCAGTGACCGGAGGGACGTAGCAGTCAGGTGTAGCACATGGACGTGTCGGTCGTTTGTTGGCGCTCGTCTCCGTCTGGTTACCATGGGAACGGTCCTGGTGGACAGGTGCGAGTGACGTCACAGTTAGAAAATAAAGGCTAATGCCAAGACTAGTTTTTTATTAAATGACTGATGTAAAACAGTAAACTCACACGAGATTCACAGAGTGAACAAAACTGTTATTGTAATTCAGGTCAGATTCTAATTAAATCATTCTAATTAACAGCTACCTGCAGCTCGTTTAGTCAGTGCACAGTCAGCTGATAATAAACAATCAATTCATTGATAATCATTTGTGTTGACATTAGTACTATCAAACCAAACAGCACAAAGACTTTGGATCAGTCTCAAAACAATTCAAGGGATTAAAGAAGGTGAAAAACATGTCTGTTACGCAGTCCTGTTCGTTTTGATTTATCCTCTGAGTTTTGCCTTTCGGTGTCAAATAGCAAATGTCCTGTAGTCTCCAGAGGTCCTCCCACCGGTATCAGAGAGGAAAGTCACTTTTCTGTTTTGTTGCAACTGTTATAGTCTAAGATGTAAAAGCCACGAGTCAGTGTGACAAATGGTGAAGTAGAAACGCTTTGCCTTCTTACCAGCTGCTCGGAGCTGGAGGACCGGATGGTGTTTGAGTCCAGGGCCAGACCGCAGACCAGAGACACACACAGCACGCTGCGCCACATCCACATCATCTGATCGATCAGTCGCTCATCAATCAGCTCCTGCAGCTTTGGTTCGTCCCCGTACTTCAGTCTGATGTGAGGACCAACCTCCGATAAAGGTTTTAACTACAGATCGGGAAAAAAATCAACTTGTATTTTTCTTATTCACAGCTGTAAAATTACTTTTGCTAAGTCTGTTTTTTAGTTGTGACAAACAGTCCGGGCTGATATTTATCAGCTTATTAGAAAATTTTGTTTAAATCCTTCAGTAACAAGGAAGAAGTTGCTGGAAGGTTTGTGTAGATTTCTGTATGAATAATCACTCACTCCTGCCTTTTAGTTTTCAAATGAATTCAGTTATTCTGTTTATTCTCTGTAACCGCCTCTCTCTGACTGTCTCCGTCCTCCTGGTGCGCTTGTTTTTTATACCACTCTCCTCCGCTCTGATCCCTCCACTTTCAGCCGCGTGGTCCTCAGAAGATTTGAAGGTGCGTTTGAAGCTCGACCGCATCAGTCGGTGGAGACAGCGCCGCCCCCGCTTCCTTCCTGGAAGCCCCGCGGCCTCAGGTGAGGCGGGACGTTTGATATGTGACACCGCAGAGTCCACGGACAGATTAAAACACACCTGGAGACAAGTAGAGCCGTCTGAGGAGCTGCGCTGTGTGAAGGGATGGGTGTGGTTTTACTTTATGTGGTTTGAAATGCTGATAAAGACTGAAGCTGTGTGTGTCAGGCAGGCGGATGTGTGGATGTTTACAGGTGATTAAAGCTGATTAGCACACAAGAATCAGGCGGATGAGGACGAAAAGTAATGTGAGCTCTGGTCTCTGAGCACAGAAATCCAAACCAATCGCTCTGCCAGTAAAGGAGAAGCACCGGGCTAGAGAAACAACAGTCATCATTACTTTTAGACATGAAGGTCAGACACTTTAAAAACTTAAAGATCTTTGAAAGTTTCTTCTGGTGCAGTTGTCAAAGCATCAGTCGCTCTGATGAAACTGGCTCCGTGGCCCCAGGGGCCCCGTGATTAGAGCCCACATCAGCACCACATGTATGTCACATCACTGGATCATAGTGACTAATTACTGTGTCCATCACTTTAATGCTGCAGCTGGTAAAGGTGGAGCTGATGGTAACTACCTTATATACTTATACTGTGAAGTACTTTCCATCCTGCTGGGTAGCTGGTGGATTTCCCACTGGGATCAATAGAGACTGATGGTTCTACTGGGTTTGGTTTGGTTCATCTGATTCTGGAACTGAAGTTATCAGGTACAGTGATGTCACTTATCAGTGACACAGTGAAGTCCAAGTCTTACATAGTACAACATGGAAATAGTCAGGTAAAGTAGAGGCACCTCAAACTTTTAGTTAAGTACAGTATCTGGGTGATTGTACTTGGTTACTTTCCACCACTGAAGAATGATCCATACACATGAAGCTTCACTGGGCTTCCCCCAGCACGAACAGCTGGGAACTGTAGGGCACACTGGAAAGAAGTAAAAAGACGAATCGTAGAGGAATTTAATTTCAGCTTATCACTGTAGGTGAGGTTCACGTATAAGAGATGTGGATTGGTTCCAGACAGGGCCCCTCTCTGTGCCCTCAGGCCTCTCTCACATTAGGCCTGTTCCAGCAGAAACGAACCAGAAGCCTTGGCTGCCTGGAGGAAAGTCTGTAAGAGCCGAGGGGTGATGCAGAACATGGTCAGCGGTGGTGTGACGGCAGCAGGTTGCTCTCACAGCTCGCACACACAAACACTGGACATTATATTTGGGATGTTGACTAAGTTACTGTCAGTATTGCGTCATTTCAGTTTGTTGACTTACTGATGGTGTGAACAGGCACAGCAGTGCTCATGTGAATGCACGTCCACCTGTGCTGTGCACGTGTGGACCGGGAGGGAACATAGGAGCAAGTGTTGATGTCCTGCCACTGAGAACACTGGCTAAAGAAGCCAACTAATCTATTTTTGACCTGCAGAGTCTTCCACTTTGTTCGGTGGCTGAAGAGCAGTGCCACCTGAAAGCTGAGGCCAAACGTGCAGCTCCCTGCTTTCCGGCCCAAACCTTTGTAAACAACACACACAGTTTCTCGGTTTAGTGCCAAAAGATGAGCCGTAGACCTTTGTAAATATCCCTCCTTGGTTTGTGGAGTGTCTTACTCAAAGCCAAATGGGTCCTGACTCGTCCGCTCCTTTGGCTGTCCTGTTTTACTGGGCAGTGGTTGTTATGCCACCACAAAAAAAGTGTTTTCTTTTCTAAATCAACTGTTCTAATGGACACTGCCTCTCCCATATCCCATGTTCCTTTGTGTCATCAGGGGAAAGGAAAACTCTGGTAATGAATAAAAAGGCTGTTCCTCACATTTACTGGTGCAAACAGACCCACACTGAGGGTGTAAAGAACAGTCGGTACACAGGCCCCAGTCCAGAGTGGCGTTCACAGACACCTGGCAATATTAACACAGGTACAGAGGTCAGAAGTTCACAGACACTTAAAGTCAGTAAAACAGATTTTTGACCACTCATCAGATGAGATGTTAACTAACTCTGGTTTTGCCAAGTCAGCTGCATGAGCGCTTTATGCATGATACAGTTTTTCCAACAGATTGTCTCCCAGTATCACAGCTCCACTGGGTCAGAGGTTTATACTCACACTCAGCAGACTGGGCCTTTAAACAGCTTGGAACGTTCCAGAAAATGATGTCATGGCTTTAGAAGCTTCTGATTGGCTGATTGACATCATCAGAGTCAACTGGAGGTGCAGCTGTGGATGGATTTTAAGGCCTAGCTTCAAACTACCTCTTTGTTTGGCATCATGGGAAACTTCCTCAGAAAAAACTGTGGACCTCCACAAGTGTGGTTCATCCCTGGGAGCAATTTCCAGACTCCTGAAGGTTCCACGTTCATCTGTACAAACACTACACAAGTATAAACACCATGGGACAATGCAACATCGTACCGCTCAGGAAGGAGACGTGTCCTGTCTCTTAGAGATGAATGGACTTTGGTCCAAACAGTACAAATCAGTCCAGAACAACAGGAAAGAACCTTGTGAAGACACTGGAGGATACCTAAAGTGTCTGAATCCACAGTAAAACCAGTCCTGTGTTGACGTAACCCGGAAGGCTGCTCAGCAAGGACGAAGCCGCTGCTCCAAGATGCCATGAAAAGGCCGACAACGGTTTTCAGCTGCACATGGGGACAAAGATCTGACTGTCCAGACAAATGTCCTCTGGTTGTTTGGCATAAAGACCATCGTTATGTCTGGAGGAAAAAGGTGGAGGCTCACAAGCCAAAGACCACCATCCCAACCATGAGCCACGGGGGAGGCAGCATCATGTTGTGAAGGGACTTTGCTGCAGGATGGACTGGGCCACCTCACTAAACATCATGAAGATGGAAGATGATGTGGACATATCATGGCCACCACAAGGCCCTGACCTCAGTACAGCAGGAAATTTGTAGGCAGAGCTGAAAAAGTGTGTGTGAGCAAGGAGGCCCCCAAACCAGACCCAGTTCCACCGGTTCTGTCTGAACGGGCTGAAACTCCAGCATCTTACTGTGAGAAGGCCCAGGTTCACCGGTTTAAAGGCAATGCTACCAAATCCTGACCGAGTGCACGTAAACTTCTGACTTCAGCTGTACAAAGCAGACAAATCATGACCCAGTAGGCTCTGAAAATGGTTTGACGTGATGTGTGCAGCGTGCGGCTCGATGTATGAGTGGACAAACACTGTACACTCGGGGAGAGCAGCAGGGTAAACAGAGCCATGTGGGTGATAAGGTTTCCAGCCTGCAGGTTGATCCAGGGCTTCAATAAAAGGACAACAGATGCTCACAATTACTGACACACACACAGGTCAGGGAGTGTATCATGTGCGTGGTTGGTGTGTAAGTGTGAGTGTGTCTCCATATTGTCTGTTTTTATCAGAACCAAAGAGGAGCCTCCTCTTCACCTCTCCTCACATCCTTCCTTCTCTTCCTGTCTCTGTCCAGCTCCGTTCGCCTCAGCTCACGTACACAGTCGCTCCGTCAGTGGTGAAGGAAGAAGAAGAAGAAGAGCTTCACTTGTCCAGGTAGGACTTACCTGTCTGTTCATTTATAGGAGCGAATCCCTGCTGGAAGTATCAGTTTCATTCACATGCTGCTTTAATAAACCAGGAGGCGACGTCAGGCTTTGGCTTGTGTTTGAAAGTTGGTGTCGGTCCGAATTTACTGTATGTGTTAAATACCAGGTTCATGTGGACTTTTACTGTTGTTCACATCGTGAGTGTGATTTGAGCTGTAGAGTTCAACGAGGAAGGCGTTCAAGCTTTTTGTTTGCTATTTGTTTGTTATTTCAGCTTTGATTTTCAGCAGGGCTTTTATTTTGCTACACATTAAGCTGGGTTTTATATTTACATATGTTTTTTTTTTGTTATTTCTTGTGTAATTATTTTTATTTCTGTTGATTTATTTTATTTATTTTTTGCATTTTCATGTGGCTTTATTAATCAGTTTTATTTTCCTTGCATTTTAAATAAATTTTGTTTTGTTTTGTTTTGTTTTTTACTTTTTCATTTACATGTTGAATTTTAAACTTATTACTACAGAGTTTGTGCTTTATGCATTTTTCAGCTGAGCTTGAATTTTTCCAAATAATAAAACATTTATTTAATTTTTTTATACATTTGTTTTTGATCCATGTTTTTATTGTATAAATGTTTAATTATTTATTGTGTTCTGTTTAGTTTTTTCTTTGTGTATGTGTATTGATAAACATAAAATACATATTGATATTGATTGAAACATATTGATAAACATAAAATGTTTCAGAATATCAACCCTAAGACATTTTGAAGCTTAGATCCTGTGGATCTGCTCACGTTGTCATATTGTGTGTCTCTGTGGCGTTGAACAGAAGCTTCAGAGACAAAATTACATTTCACATCAATTTTCCATCAGACAGGAGAGAGGGTGAGGTGGGGTGAAGCAAAAAAGATGGACAGAGATAGAATAAACGAAGAGTGTGTGTGTGTGTGTGTGTGTGTGTGTGTGTGTGTGTGATAACTGCATTAAAGAGCTTCTAAACCAATCAGCAGTCAGAGCACACAGACCGTTAGCAGTCAGGCTGCTCACGTTCATGCTAACAAAGAAAAACCTGAAAACACTGAAGAAGTGTGGAAACGTTTGGACCTACTTTCGGCTCAGCTTCACATCACGGCTGGAAGCTTCAGGCTGGAGGTGGAGACTGGCTCAGTCCACACAGAGCTGCTGTTAAAGCAGTGGGTGGGCTAAGTCTGGAGGCTCAGACTAATATCTGGAGTCTGTGGTGATAACAGAGAGGGCAGCTGTTTTATTAAAGATCAGATGTGATACGAAGGAGCGCTCAGCCTGTGTGCAGACGCTCTGTGACTTCACTGTGTTTCAGAACCAGCATGAAGCCAGATACAAAGACACCGCACACATACGGACGGACTGCTGGTTTAAAGTTCCCTATCGAGATTTCATGTAATCACTTTGTTTACAGTCGTTGTTTTGTCACTCACTAGATGTTAAACATGTAGAGTGCGTTTTAACAACCTCAATTGTTTATGTCATGTTTCCTACTGACCAGTCTTCGCTGCCTTTATTGTCACGCTGCTGTTTTTCTCTGGACATCAGTATGAGAGACACGAGGTCCTGTCCCATTTACACTGGATCAATCAGACAATGTGAAAAGTCTTAGTCAGTGCACCTTAAGATTCAAGGATTCAGAGACTGTCTGTTTCACACTGTAAAACTACTGGGGATGTTCTGGACTGTAATGCTGCTGAATCCGGTTCATCATCGTGCCTTTGTCACAAAGTCGGGCAGACTTCCTGTTCTTTTACAAATAAGAAGAAGCAATCATCTCATGAGATCCGCCTGTAAACCTCTATTGTTAAAGCTTCCAACCTGCCTCATGTAGCACACGACCTGGCGACAGCTTCACCTTAGATAACCTCCGTTAATCTGGGCATAGCTGGCTTCAGCTATGAACCTTTAAAACTGAATGAACTGCAAACTGCCATCAGACCGGGGTCCTTCATACCTGCTGATGTTTTTATGGATTTGTTGATGTTTGTATTAGTTGTGTTGATTCTGTGTTTGACCTTATTTGACCGACCTGAGCTAAATAAAGATCCAGTCAAACCATCTGTCTGTGTTTGTGTAGGCATGGCGTGGCTCCATCAGAGTCGAGGCTCTCCCAGACTGGTCCTGGTGGTGGTGTGTGTCGCTCTGCTGCTTGACAACATGCTGCTCACGGTGGTCGGTGAGTGTGCATACGTAAATACACGCAATATATCAGTGTTGTCACCAACTCACGTTAAAGGAATCAGAATGTTTCTTATTGTGCACAGTCCAGAGACCAGCAGCACCGGTGAACGTGGTGTCCTCACCGTCATGTGAGTCCAGATCCTGGTCCAGCTTATCGCTCTGTGCCCCCCCCCAGTGAGTCACACCGCTGCACTGGGGGGCAGGTTTCCTCCTCAGGAAACACGGGAGGTGTCCGTGTCCACCAAAACAGCTGTGCACCACTGCATTTGTTCCACAGTGTCGTTAACAGCAGACTGAGCAGTGTGTGCAGTCCCCCCCCCATGGTTGTATGAAGGATGTATTAGCAGTGAATTATGAAGCTAACTAAAGTGTTGGCGTTCTCCTCCATGAGCTGTGTCACAGCTGCTGCTGCAGGTGCAGCTGTGTTGCTGAGTTGTGAACTCAGAGGGACAAACTACAATAGCCAGCTTCCTGTTGTTTTTAGAACACCTGCACAACCTGTCGCTTTCACCTCACACAGCTTCTCTGTGTCACGTCTCCCTCATGTTTCGACGTGACAGTGCCCTCGTGCACAAACTAGCTTTGTAAAGAAGTACATTTTTATTAAGTGGGGAAGTCTGTCCTGCACAGACTCCTGACCTCAGTTCCATCCAGCACCCATGGGATGCGCTGGAACAGTGACAATGAGCCAGACATGATCCCCAACGCCAGTACTGGACCTCAGGGATGCTGTGGTGTCTGAGTGGGAGCAAATCCCTGGTTCCACATCTGGAGGAAAGACTGACACCGGCAGAGTGGAGGTTGTTAGAACAGCACATTAATGAACAAAGAGCCACAGTCCCTGCTCAGCTGTCCACACACCTGTGGCCATGTGCTGGCCAGTAGCAGGTGTATCCTGTACTGTTCCTCTGTGATGGAGTCTCAGCTCCTGGAAACAGATCTGTGACACAACTACAGACCTCGAGGTCAAAGCTGTCGCCAGCTGTTAGACTCAGAGCAAGACGTAAAGGTTGCAGAGGACACACACACACACACACACACACACACACACAACCTCCTGACCTTAAACTTTAAAGCCTGCTGTCTCAGGTCAGCGTTGTCTCCTTCAGTCTCTTCTCAGATTAAATTGCCTCTGCTATTTTTTCCCCAGATGGACTTTATAGGACATTACATGTGTATTATGAGTTTTGTTTGCAGGTTTAAATACGTTTTTTTCTCTCTCTCATAATGAGTCAGTCAGTCTTGAATGGGCAGCAGCTACCACAGCTGGAGGCTGAACCCAGTACAGTAGCATCTTAAAGGTCGCTCCCACTGAAGGCTGCTGGACACCGACTCCAGAAAACCCTGGCTCCCTCTTAGAGAGAACCAACTTCTGTCTAGAAATACTGATGTTTTTTCTCCGTTTCTTCATTTAGACCCTGTATTTAGTGTCCTGGTGGTAATGTTGGAAGTTATGGTTGCATTAATCAGATTTCTGGGCATATAGAAGCTCAGATGAGGATGAACTATGCACATCTGGTGAAATGGCTCCATCCCCAGTGGAGAGGACTCTTTACTGGGTGCTGCTGCTATGGAGGCGTTTTTTCATTGTTGCTCTACGGTGCTGTGTTTAACTTGAATTAAAACTTTATTTTAACCAAGCAACTAATGAATGAACGTATCATCTCCTCCTGCAGTGCCGATCATCCCGACATTCCTCTACGCCATGGAGCATCCCAGTCCTGAGCCCCAGACCGCCCAGCCCTCCCTGCTCCCTCTGCCCAGCTACAGTGCACCGGTCCTGGCTGCACATTTGGATCAGAGCCCCCAGTCGTCTCCACACACCTTCTCTCCTCTGGTACCTCTGTTTGACAGCACAACCTCCAGTCTGCAGGAGGCTGACCTGACCCCCGACACCGAGGCCACAGACCAGACCGGTCTGACCACAGACCTGCAGATCAACGAAACCGCCAACACTACAGTAGGTGGAGGATGATCTTTACCTGGCATAAGCTCTTGTTGTCAAGGTTTTCAGGTGATGTTAGACAACGTCCCCCCTCCTCCTGCAGGACTCCTTCTGCCTCCAGGACAGTGTTTTTCTGGAGAAGGAGAATGTTCGTGTTGGCTTGTTGTTTGCCTCCAAAGCTCTGGTTCAGCTGCTCGTCAACCCCTTCGTCGGTCCGCTCACTAACAGGTGAGTTCATTCAGGGCCTCAGTGTGGCCCAAAACCTATTTGCTGATTAATCAAACCATCGTCTTGATTCTTTTAAATAACACACTTATGTTTGACAATATGTGATAATTAATGTAAAGTGCTACGTTGTTTTGCTGCCTCTGTAGGATCGGGTATCACATCCCCATGTTTGCAGGTTTCATCATCATGTTTGTGTCAACCATCAGTAAGTTGTCTCACACATGGACACACACGGTCTTGGTGGTGTGTGTTTACTACAGAAAGATGACTGATTGTGTGTTTCAGTGTTTGCGTTCTCAGGGACCTACACCCTTCTGTTCTTCGCTCGCTCTCTGCAGGGAATCGGCTCATCTTTCTCCTCTGTGGCAGGTCCACACACACACACACACACACACACACACAGATGATTCCCACTGGCTGCGTCCACATCTCAGGCCTCAACGCTCAGCTCTGACCTTGTTGTGTTGCTGCTTCCTGTCCATGTGTGTCAGGGTCACAGTTGCTGCTTCCCGTCCATGTGTGTCAGGGTCACGTGCAAAAATGTTCCTGAAATGTGAGCCGCATGCGCACAGGACGAACAACCAGGATGTGCGTGTGGAACAATGAGGAGACTTTGTCCTTCCTCCATTAACATATGAAACTTAGAGAAACAGGATTCCATCACGTTGGATGTGAGTTTGTGTCGCCCACAGAATACAAATGCATGTTTGTGTGTGTGTAGGTCTGGGCATGCTGGCCAGTGTGTACACAGATGACGAGGAGAGAGGCGTTGCCATGGGCATCGCACTGGGAGGACTGGCTATGGGAGTCCTGAGTGAGACACACACATTAGTAATCCTTTAGCCTAGGTGGTCCTGCAGCACACCAGCCGCCCCTCTGTGGGTGTTCTGGCCAGAAATGCACAAACGTCAGCCATGGCCGCCGCCACCGGGTTTGTTTATATAATTTGTCTGTGTGTTGTGTTTCAGTCGGAGCCCCATTCGGCAGTGTGATGTATGAGTTTGTTGGGAAGACCGCCCCCTTCCTGATCCTGGCCTTCCTGGCTGTTTTTGATGGAGGTAAAAACATTGAATTCGCCCTAATCACAGCACAGAGCTTGTACAGTGTGACACAGAACCAGAGTCCTGGCCCACAGGCGTGTGCTCAGGTGAATGAAGCAGCAGCAGCACTATGAGAGCTGGCCCTTTTCTGACAGTGTGCAGTGAATATGTGTGTGATGGGCCACACCAGGTGTGTACTATCTGAACCAGAATACATTTGTGCATGTTTGTGTGTTGCAGCATTGCAGCTGTGCATCCTGCAGCCTTCAAAGATTTCTCCTGGGGTGAGTCCACTTTACCGTAGCACTGATCCTGGTCTGACGGGGTCTGGTTGAGCCAGTGTGGGCTGACCTGACGTAATCTGCTCCGTGCATCTGACAGTGTGACATGATATGATCTGATTTGTTATTCACACTGATGCTGTCACCTCTGGTCAGCTGCACCGAGCTGTCACTGTTTCAGTTCAGTTAGTTCTGGAGCAGACTGACCAGTTCTGTGTTTCAGAGTGTGGAGGGGACTCCGCTGCTGACCCTGTTAAAGGACCCATACATCCTCATCAGTGCAGGTAAGACAATGTGTGCTCCCGCTCACCTGCAGCACCGTATTTATTACCTCAGTGGTGGTGTGGTGGTGGTGGGGGGTTACAGGAAGAGCATCTCTGTCTTTTTGTCTGCAGGGTCACTGTGTTTCGCCAACATGGGCGTCGCCATCCTGGAGCCAACGCTGCCCATCTGGATGATGCAGACCATGTGCTCCCCTAAATGGCAGCTTGGTATGATCTGTGTGTCTGCTGCTCTTCCTCTCCGGGTTTACTCTTCCTCTTCACAGACATACAGACTTTAGCTGCGTCCACATCCCAGCTGAACTTTCCCAGATCTGATGTTTCCACAGAAGTGTCATCAAACCTGATCAGATGTTCTCAGATCAGATCATTGGCATGTGCCGCCCTAGATCCGACTCATATTTGACCTCTGACTGTGCGAGCGCTGTCAGGACGGTCAGATCAGAATCCATGTGGTTGTTTTCATTGTAGGGTCAGAGTCTGTATTCATGCCACGAGTGGCACTCCCAACATTCACCTGGCTTTGTAGAGCGAAGCTCTTACAGATCGCCAAGGTACATGTCACTGATCCAATATGATTATTTTACTCATGAACAGGCAGCGAGCCACAAACTCTTCAGTTTATTAAACTACATGCAGGCTGAGGTATCTGTCCTCAGGAACGTCTCTGTCCAGGCCCCCGAGATTGCACACAGTGCTGTCCGTGTCCTCGGACAGGCGCTCCCTCCTCTGCCTCTCTAACAGGTGCGTGTTGTGTTGCAGGTATGGCCTTCCTCCCTGCCAGCGTGTCCTACCTGATAGGGACAAACCTGTTTGGAGTCCTGGCCAACAAGATGGGACGGTCAGTGTGCGAGCATCGTTGTGTCTCAGTTTCACTGTGAAGACTCTCACAGGCAGTAGTTCAGTTCTCAGAGGAAGAAGTGTAATCAGCAGATTAACAGATTAAGTGTTCTGCAACATGAGTCCTGTTCAGACCTGATCCTGAAGGTTTCTGGTAAACCAGACAGACAGATAGACAGGGGTCTGATGGGTGTTTCTGTCTCCAGGTGGCTCTGCTCCATGTTGGGGATGTTTATCGTTGGCATCAGTCTGTTGTGTGTAAGTACAACATCCATTCAGCAAATTTCAAATTTAGGTTTTACATAGAAATATACAGTATCAGCTTGTAAAATATGATGCATTATTATAAATTAAAGTACCCAACACTGTAGGAAGCAATTGAAACTGGCTCCATCTTAACCAGTTAAAACATGAAAATACAGTTTACATATTAATAAATCAATAACAAAGATCAAACAGTATTAGAGTATAACAGACAGAGAGCATTCTGTACTGTTACTTTTCATACTTTATTTTTTGATAATACTCTGATGTTTTTACTTAAGTAAAATTTTAAATGTACTCGAAATGAAGTGTTTTTCTACCATGGTGTTACTACTTTTACTTAAGTAACATAAAGTTGAACAGTTCTTCCACCACGGGCATTTGTATCCAACATCCATCCATTTGTGTCAACTGTCCTTACATCTGCTTTCACCAACCAAACTTCATGTTAAAACAACCAATTTAATGAGTATTTTATCAGAACTTTTTAACCTTTTCAGTTGCCATTAACATCACACTACATGTTTACTCTCTGTGTGTGTGTGTGTGTGTGCGCACATCAGGTTCCTTTTGCCACCAGTATCTACGGTCTGATTGGACCAAATGGAGGCTTGGGCTTTGCTATAGGTGACTATTAACACACTCGTTACCTCACTAAATCTCAAATGTTGAAGGTGTTGCTAGGTGACACAAACCCTTCAATGTGTTATAGTAACTGTGGAAACAACCATCCAGCAGTTTTTTTGGGGGGAGGGGAGCAGTTTTGATGATACTTAATGTCTGAGTGTGATGATTTCTGCCCATCAGGCATGGTGGACTCCTCCATGATGGCCATCATGGGTTACCTGGTTGACATCCGTCATGCCTCCGTCTACGGCAGCGTCTACGCTATTGCTGATGTGGCGCTGTGTATGGGCTTTGCTATCGGTAAAACATACACACACAAACACACGGTATCAGTGTTGGAGAGTAATTAAGTACATTTTCTGTAACAGTATAGATTATTATACTTACTGGTTACTTTGTGGATTAAGATTAAACTACCCACCCAGGATATATAAAGTGATAGGTGACATGGTTGATGGGAAATGTGGTCCTGTTTTTAAAAGACAGCATTAACAATGTGCTGGTTTAAGACTAAATGAGTCTTTAGTTTTCATGAATATGATCATGGTGGAGATCTCCCTGTTGTTCTAGGTCCGTCCACAGGGGGCGCACTGGTCCAGGCGGTGGGGTTTCCCTGTCTCATGGTGTTTATCGGGGTGATCAACATCCTGTACGCTCCGCTCTGCTTCCTGCTACGTAACCCTGCTGTTCAGGAGGAGAAAATGGTAACTGATTACTTTATAAAGAGGGAACTAGCTGTATCCCTGACGCTCGGCAGACCCTGTATGGACTCGGCCCGATGTTAGCCCTGAATCTGTTGCTCCCGATTGACTTTAGAATTAGACCAAATTTCAGGCACATCGGTTGTTGTTTGAGTGCAGTATGAACAGGTGCAGACCAGATTGCGTTGTGTGGACAGAATCAGCAGAGACCAGGCTAATCGAGCTCTGGCAGCACACGTGGCTGTACAAAAATATTTTCTTCTTTTTTCTCACTTTCAGTACAAATTGCACTACATATAAATGGTGCAAGCTGCTGGTTGGCATCCATGTTTACTTTGGTACAAGAGGAATTGGCGTGATTCTGCGGGATTTGGATCGTCTACTGTCCGAGTCGTTCAGTGTGTTGCTCAGTGTTAAGGTGTGCATGCACACCGCACAAAATCTGCACAGGTTGATAGAAACAGTCTTTAGGTGTGGCCCGTCCAGTCTCTGTGGGTTTTAGCCAGTGGTCATGTGTTTCCCCACATTTAATACAGAATTGGCACTTTCAGCATTGTTGTTGTGGGAAAAGCTGAAAATCCTCCCCGTCTGTAGTGCTGAGAGAACTGCAGGGTGAATGTATTCCCAAAGAGACAACACATCTGTAATGATGACTTTGTTATTAAAGTCAACGCGCGCGCACACAGTGTGTAGCAAGAGTGTGAAGTCATTACACAGCACTCACACTGATCCCAGATCAGAAGCTGCTGCCTTCAAAGACATTTCTCCTTAAGTTACAGAGACGTGCTGCATATTTATCGGCCCACCGTGTGTGTCTGTGTTGCAGGCGATCATCGACCAGGAGTGTGTGATGCACAGGAAGAACTACAACACACACCAGGAGAGTCGCGAGTTTCCTCTGAGCGACTACAGCGAAGAAGAAGAGACGGAGGAGTGACCAACATGCTGATGTGTGACCTTCAGACTTCCTGTTGTCACAGGGCAGAACAGAGCAGATGTCGAGCGCTTAAAGGGACAATGTCCACATTAAAACACCCACAAGAACGGTTTTGATTTTTATGTTCAGTAAAGTTGTGACTCAAGCTGGATTTATGCTTCTCCCAAGATATACTACACATCTATGCAGACCTACACAGAGTATTATGGGTAACCATAGATTCCTGTGGAGTCCCTGCTGGGTAACCCGCCAAAATTATGTGCAAAAGGAAAAAACTCTATATTGCAGGTATGGTTTAACTACACGCAGCGGACAGCAGGAGAAATAAACTCGAGAATAAAAACACAGTGTAATTTTATGAAGCCAGTTTTT